TCGTGGATGCATAGCCCCTCCCCCCCTCTCTCTTTCTCTCTCTCCGTGACGCGGCATGCAGCTAGCTCGGCCGGAAGGAACGCAGCAGCGGAGAAAGTGATTATTACATTGCCATTTTTCTAGAGAACACAATACGACGAGGAAAGCGAACACCGTGTAATGCTGATGATGTTTTCAATGCCAAATTCGCAGCGTCACCGATTACCCGGGTACGTTGCCCTCAGACAAAGAGCCCCCCCCCCCTCTCACACAGACACAGAGCGGGCTCCGTACCCTTTCACCGTGTGCGAGAAATACGCGCCAGGCTTTGCGACCTATCTCGGCTGCCATCGAAATATCCTGGTCTGCTGCACTGCACACCAAGCCGTGCCGTCGCCAATTTCGCGCGCTTTTCCCACCTCGTGGATCGGAAGGCCGCATTCCGCGATTCGCTCCGCGACGAGGCCGACGCTTTTCTTGCCAGCTTTAATTTTTCAATCAACTATGCAGCAGCAGTAGCGCCCGCCATCCACAGCAGCAGCATGAGGAGAAGAGGAAGAACCAGCAGCTTTGACAAACTGGCCGTTTCGGGAGAGTTCCCGGCTGACACCAGACTAGACCAGACCAGACCAGCCCCCTCCCGTCCGGCAGGCGTTCCACTCGTTCCACTATTCTCACGGCCCCCCACGGCCGGCCGCCATGGCGCTGCTTAAAATTCAATAGGCAATCCATTTGGCGTTTCGCACTGATAGGTCGCGCGTAAACGACACAACGGGACGCATTCTGATATCGATCAAAACGAAAACGGGACGGCCAATTTTTCTTTCATTCATTCATTCATTCGCGGCTTGGCTTGTTTCGTGGGTCGTCGGTCCGTTCACCCGTTCGTCGCTCTCCGCGTTTGGGCCGCCTGTTGTTCATCCCGTCCATCCAAGTTGCTGCGGTGTTGTGATGCGAGCAGACCAACAGCCTCTCTAGGGAGCGCCGACAACAAAGACACGGGCAGCAGCAACAAGACACACGGCCCAGCAACCTTGGTCGCGCTGGACCGGATTGCCGGGCTGGTCCCCCTCCTCCCCGTGCATCGCAAGGTCACCTCAGGGCGCTCTCCGCTGCTCTCCAAGCTCGAGGCTCGCCGGCATCGGCTTCCTCCTTCCCTTCCTAATAATGGGCGCCTGCTCATCAAGCCGTTGCAGCAGGCTGAACATGCTGTCGCCGCTCTGTCTCTCTCGCACTCGCGGGCCGTCCCGGCGGGGAGCGAGAGAGACAGAGCGGCGAGGCCCCGTCCGGAATCAGCCGCCGCGGGAAGAATAGGCAGCAACGCTCGGCTGCATCAACAATTTATCGAAAGGGAATCTCCGGCCGCGATATCCGAGAGGGGTACTTGGAGAGATACGCCCGGGTACCAGGCACTACTCGGTGTGCCGCAGCTCGGGGAGACTTTCGGGCATCGAACGGTGGTCTCTCTGACGCCGCTAACGGCGGCAGGGCCAATGCCGTGCACGCCACTTCGCGGTGGTCCACACGGATCCAGCAGTCTGGGCACGCCGCGGCCGGCACGCCCGGCACGAGCCAGGCCACGCCGCGCCAGGGGTCACTGTGCTCGCCTTGCCGCCGTGCCCCGCGGCGCCACGGACACGACACGCCGCCCGCCACGCCCAGGGTCCACCAAGGCCGGCGTCGTCGTCCACCGAGGCACCGGCTGTGCACCTTCCCGCCGTGGGGGCCAAGAGCACGCCGCGGCACGCGGCCTGCAGCGCCGGGTTCAAATCTCGCCACTTTATTTGCGCTAATTGCACGCAGCGACTTTAATAACCGGTAGAATTAGAGCAGCGCGTGGCGGCGTGGCCTCCACTCCACAGAACAAAGGGACTACAAAGCAGCCACTCAGCGCCCGCCGGGCCCGCCGGGCCCCGCCGCGCCCCGCCGCGCTGCACCTGTGCGTGTGAGCAAGCAAGACGCTACACGCGTCCTCGCCCCGCCCGGCCCGGCCCTTCCACAGCATCCTGGCCGGCCACGTCGTCCTGCTCCCAGCCATTGTGCTCCTTGGCTCCTCCCGGGCTCCTCCCGGGTCCTCCAGGGCCCTCCAGGGCCCTACCGGGTCCTGGGAGCTTCGCTGGTAAAAGGCTGCCCAGCGGCCGGCGGGCCGGGCCGGACTGGTGCCACTATCAGTGAAGAACGACGCGTCCGACTCCTGTAACGCTGCAACGCTGCTCGGTGACGGAGTCAATTTTCTTCCTCCGCCGGCCCGGGGTGGCCCAGGGCATAGGGACTCCGGACCGGACAATGCCATTCCCGCTGCTAATCTAATCGAGGCGAGGGCAGGGCCGGCCGGGCCGGCAGGGTGGGCCGTGCAGGGCCGCTGCCAAGGGCGGCACGGCGGCACGGCGGCACGAAGCAGGGCCGCATGTACGGCAGTACGAGTACAGGCAGTGCCGGAAGAATCCGCCGCACATTAAGCAGTGCCGCACGTATCTCGCAGTGAAGCAACGCTCCTTTCTTTGCTTCTGACCCCTGGCTACCTTTGCGTGTTGGATCGCCGGCTCCTTGAGGCCGCGAGGCGTGCGGCGGCGTGGCGTGGCGTGGCGCGGCGTGGCGTGGCGGCACGGCGTACCTGTTCCCGCGAGGCGCTGCTCGGCACTCGGTACCCGCGAGGTCGACTTAGTCGTGAATAAGTGCGGCTCCAATGCCAGCAGAGGCTCCACTCCAGCCGCAGCCCCGCAGGCCGAGCCTACCTACTCGCCTGCTCGCCGACTGACTGCAGGACTGGTATGCAGCAGCTAGCCAGCTAGCCAGCTAGCCAGCTAGCCAGCGCCACCAGCGCTACAGCGGCCCGGCAGCTGCACCGTTCCACAGGTGGTGTTCTCCGGGCGTTCGGGGCGTTCCAGCAGTTCCAGTCGTCCCGGCCCAGCGCTGCCTGCTGTCTGCTCCAGACTCGTCCAGACTCCAGAGGCGCGGCACGGCGCGGCACGGCACGGCGCACCTGTGCTGCACCTGACGTGCTTTTTCGGGACCGCCGCGCTCTTCGGCGCGCTCCGCCTCGCGGCAGGCAGGCTGCTCCTGACTCAGGAGGAGCAGCGGCGGAGATTCTTGACGGGGAAATTATTGGAGCAGTGCGCGGAACGCGGTGGGGCGGGGGGGGCGGGGCGGGGCGGGGCGGGGCGGGGGGCGGGGCGGGGCGGGGCGGGGCGGGGCGGGGCGGCGGGGCGGCGGGGCTAACGCGGGGCCGGCCGGGGCGTTCACCCGTCGCACGGGGAAACACGTCCGGACCTGGTACAAACCTGCACGGGCCTTCCCCTTTCCCCCCTGAAAACGTCGCGAGGGAAAAGCAGCGCCAGTGCCTGGTCGACGAGTTGGTCCGTGCATGTCGTCCACGTCGTCCACCTGTCCGGCGCGCCAACAAGCTCCCCGTGCGTGTCATCGCGTCGCGGACGACGAGGACGGAGAGGACGGCGTGACCGTGCTTTTTAATTAAAAGGAGTCCCCGGCCCGGGACCCGCGGCCCGGGGGTTGGCCTGTTGGCTGTTGGCCTCCCCCAGGAGACTCCAGTGGAGTGGCGGAGCAGGCAGAGGCGCCGACCGGCCGACCGGTTGGGTCGGACGACGTCGTGGACGGCGACGCCAAGAGGCTGCGACGGCCCTCGCGGCCCTCGCGGCCCGGCCACAACCTCTGCCGGCTCGACGGGTCAACGTTGCTGGACGACACGACGATGCTGGACGAGATAATCCAGTCCCAGGCTCAGCCGAGGGCTCAGCCCAGCCTGACGTCCTGATGTAGTGGTAGAGCGGGGCGCCGTTCCGTAGCCCCGGCCCCGACAACCGCGCGCCAGCCGGACAACAGTGTATACCCAGAATGCGGGAAGGCAAGGCAAGGCATCGTGCCGGCCTGCCGGGCGGCGGCCATTGGCCGTGCCGGCTTTGGCAGCGAGCACACTGTCGTAAACGTAAACGCGCCGCGATTCGCGAAAGAGCATCGCGGGGCGGGGCGGCGAGCTGCTCACAATAATCTACATTCCTGCCGGGCTGCGGCCAGGCTCCAGCCAGGCTCCAGCGCTAGGCAGCAGACGGGGCAGGCTCGCGCCGCTCGCGCTCGCGGCGTTGTAGAGGTTCTGCCAGCCAGTTGCAGGCTGTCCCCAGCACGCCCCGCCCCGCCCCGCCGCTGGTATGCCGGCCGCTTGTAGGACTGGTCCGGCGTGGCGCAACGTAGTTCGTACGGCGTAGGTACTCGGCAGGGCAGAGTGGTGCAGAGCCGTGGCAGAGCGGACAGGGCCACCGGATGGCCTGCAATGACGATGAGAACGTTGTTTGTCTCGAGTGGCGTGCAACGTGCGGAGTGCAGCGCGCTCTCGTCCGCTGGGGCGGCCAGTGCGGACGTGCGGTGGAGCAGGCGGCTGGCTATCTTCAAGTGGTCGCTGGTCAGTGAGTGGACGTCTCAAAATCAGCAACAAAGTCTGGTTCCGAAAGGTCCTCCTTCAATGAGCTCTTCATCGTTTCTTGACCGACGCTGCGCGGGGGCTACTCGGCCGACCGAGGCGGCCGTCGCGTCAAAGGCCCCGCCCGTCTCATTAAAACCGCATCGATGCCTTAACGACACTGGCGCGCTAATCTCCTCGCCAGTGGCTCTGCGTTCGCTGCGTTCGCGTCACCTGTCCAAAGCGACCACGTCCAGAGGAGGGGGCGTGGCGCGGTCATTCCCTGTGCAGCTTGCGGCGCGCGGGAAATGAGTTGGGACTTCCCTCGGGCTGTCCCGACAGGCGCCATGCGTATGGCGCTCGCGTTGTTGCTTGTTTACTGCAGATCGAGCCGTTTTCTGCGTTCTGTCCGAGAGGCCGGCCCGCGGCCCGGCCAGACTTGCTGCCCGCGGCGTGTCGTCGCGTCTTATCGAAGTCATCGCGCCCGCCTCGCGGCCACAGGCTCGGCCACAGGCTCGGCCACAGGCCACAGCGTAGCGACAGCGCGACCGCGACCGCCTCGACCCGCGGAGGGAGACTTGAACGCCGCCGGCCTGTGACTCGGACTTACCGCTGACAGCAGAGCAGATTGCAGGCCGAGCGAAGTATCCACAAAGCGCATCCACAATGTCACACACTGCACTCACACTACGGCAGCACCGTCACTCGCACACTCGAAAACACACCCAGACGCGAGCTACGCCAACTACGCGCGCGAGCCCCCGCCGCCGCTCAAGGCAAAAGAGGCCGGTGCGCGGTGTACGCGGTACCCGGCGGTACTCCGGCACGGCTCGGTAGGGCTCGAGGTGGGGCCGCTTAGCTGGCCAGCTCACTCCACTCCACTCCACTCGGCCGTGGTGGTCCACTGTCAACTGAACTCAAGTCGAGCCGGTGCCGGTCGCGGCGGTGCGCTGCCGAGGCGTGGCGGGGCGCGAGTCGGAGGTAGAAGGGGCCCCTGCCGGCCCAGCCATCCTCCTCCATCTCCATCCACGCCAGGCTGGCTGGCTGCGCCGGGCAGTAGGCAGCAGGCCTCGCCGGACCTCTCGCGGACCGCGAGCGACGCTAGACGCTCCGCGCCACCACGCCGGTGTCTGCGAGACAAGACGCCCCCCCTTGCGACGCCAGCGCGCTGCGGGTTTGCCTACGCCCTCCGTGGGGTGTGCCCTGGCCCCCTGGCCCTGGCAAGTCCGGCCTGCGTGGCTGTGGCTGTGGGTAGAGCTCTACTCAAGGGCTCGATGTGAGTGGTCTGCGTTACTGCGAACTGCCGATACATTTTTGAAATATACTTCGGTTTTCTCTCCTTCCTTGTTGTTGGTGTTGTTTTCATTTTCGGCTGTTGCAACCAGGGTACAGTGGGAGATCAAATAAAGAGACACTTTTTGATTGGATTACACGTTTTTATTTATTTACATACAAAGAGACTCAAGTCACGTTTACAGCAATGGCAAATAGAAGAGGCGCGAACCACTTCTAAATTTTGATTTCATAGATTGTTGGAATGTGTAAGATTTTCTGCTGCTTTTGCCAAGCAGTAGTATTTCATCCCGGATGGTTGGAATGTCCCATTGTTACTAAAAGTATTGCAGACCACCTCCTTCTACACAATCATTTCACAATTGAACTATTTTTTCTAATTTTACTCTTTTGTACGTTTTGATATAATCACAAATCAGTGTTTAAAACAGTGACACAGACGGTGCAGCAGTCAACACAAAAATGGCCCATCTCTACTCCGCGCGGGAGATTCAATGTTTAATTTATGGGCTTGGTGCATTGACAATGTCATTTCTTTTGCGAACGACAGAACCCTTTTTACTCAGTCTGGAGAGGAGCTAACAGTGGAAGAGAGAATCGACCCCACGCCCACGCCCCATCGAATGGAATACAATTGATGGGGTCAGTTCTTTGCCCACTAATAGAAAAATATACATAAATCACAGATTGTTAGAAGAGTGACACCTAACTTGATCTTTTATCACCATTTTCCTTCCTTAAAATATAACAAAATTTATAATTGATTTACACATTAAGGGTAAGTCATTAATTGAGATGCATACAATCTCAGGAATGTAAAAGTCAATGAGTCACTGTCCTCACTACAGAAAGCCACGGATAAGTGGAGAACAATGGCCAAATAAAATTAACAGATCCATGGCATAGAATTGAGCACAGATACAAATACAACAAAACACACCTCATGCATTAACATAAGTCATAGAAAATAAAAATATAAGCAATGTTACTAATTATTATGACATAATGCTCCATTAGTTTCTCTCAGGCAGTGAAGTATGATATCACAGCATACAGTCAGACTATTTGAGTGACTGGGCACTGTACAAAATACATACAGTGATAACTGTGATTTACAGTCACGCAAGAAAAATAATAAAGCAGTAGTATTTTAAAACACATGTGAATATTGTAAGTACAAACAATAGACAATGCTTACATACACTTCCGCAAAATCTAAATCAAGCATTGATTTACATTAATTCAAATAAAATGCTTTTCTCTCATTAACAAAAAGCTAAACATACCAACTTGGTAACTTTTATGTTACAAAATTCAACACATCAATTAATAAAATTAATCACAATGGCTTACACACCTAAAACAAGATCAGTGCAGTTGCAAAAGCACACTATAAGAATGTTATTCAGATTCCATGACCATTAAACCACAAAAACCCTGGTAACAAAATTTTATATCTGCATGGCAATTCCTGCAGATGAAATATTGTCACCACCACCACAAGTTTGCTTGGCATGTGTGCACACAAGTACAGGTGCAACACATACATTTATAGTGGCATCGCCACACTCCTCATCCCAACATGAAATGGGGCTGGTGACATTCAGCGGTACTCTCCTACTTCCCTCAGCTTTAGAAGTTGAAAAACTGTCGTCCATAATAAGATGAACATTCTCCACGTCAACCTGGAGAAGAGAAAAATTCAAGGAGGTTTCAGAGAAGTTGAAGCAAAATCATCTCTATTCCTTCAAAATAACGGCACTCACCAAAGAAGTTCCGCAGACATGTCTGTGAGCAGTAAGAGAGGCCTTAGCGGCAGCTCCAATGGAATTCTTCCATGTAGAGCCATGTACTGTCAATATAGCTTGGTAAGCAAGAGTATGGACATGGATTCGGGTCAAGCTTCGGCTCCCCGCGACCTTCCTACCCTTCTGTCGTAATTGTCTGTAGCACACAGGTTAAATAAAACATCCAAATTAAAAAATTTAAAAGAAAAAAACGCAGTGAGGAGAAAATGTTGAGGGGTTGTATTACTGACCTGAACACTTCTCTCATATCATCGAGAACGGTGGCTACTCTAGGATTTGAATCAGTCACGACACTCACTTTGCCATGAAGAAGGATGCTCTTCAGATTTTCCAGTTCCTGAAGAGTAAACACAAAACAACTAGTAGCATATTTTTAAATTAAACAAAAGAAAACCATGAAAACTCATCAAAACTTACTTGTTCATTCATTCCCAAAGAATCCGCAAAAGGAAGAATGTTTTCAACCAAATCTGTCATCAGCTTAGGTTCAGCAAAAGATGCCAGCTCAAAATGAACATGAGTATCGGGCAACTGTGTTTTCATCTGTTCCTGTACAAGTTTTAAGCGTTCTTCACGAACACCTGAGACAAACATTGTTTTAAAAATGACAGTGAATGTAAAAGGCTGATAGCCATCACCTTTGACAGTCCTGAATCATACCTTTTTCAAAAGGGTAATTATCCATCATTTGTAACCCACCAACAACAAGAAGGTCAGGCTTAAAAGTCACAATAGATGCTTCAAATGCTTCTAGTGAGCTTAGGGTTGGATTGTTGTCATCGTTATGTAGAATAAATCTGAAATATATTTTTTTTAAATCTCATTATGGTGGATACGGTTAAAATTGATTTTTGTGGCATTAAACTTTTGCAGATGTTTTCTTGAATTAGTTAAATGAAACATTTGATTTATTTGAAGGCATAATAAAATTATTAATTACCTGTTGGCACGGGGCGCTCTATATGGGCCCCACACTTCGTCTGTCTTGTATTCAAGAATGAGATGAACGTCATCCTTACTTACATCTCCTCCAACAACTACACACACACACACAAACAATAAAACAGGAAAATGAAACACATGCATATCTAACTGATTTTTGCCACATAACTAAAAACAATTGATATTATTTAGTAAGTAACATCAAGAGGCAGACCAGCACAATATAAGCTTTTGATTACACAAAAACACAAATCCAACCAGATAACACTTGGTTATTAATGATATTTTTAAACTGTTATGGTCAAATGTGTTAGAAGGAAAACTTAAGAAGACTGTTAAAAATTGTTTAACATACCTTTGACTCCAAGAGGAAGAGTTTTTTGAAGGCGAGGCGTCATTTTGGCTGCAAGAAGGACATCACAGCCCTCCAGAGAAAAGCGAGCTGCCATAACTGCTGCGTTTCCACCCATTTCCCACCTTGCGCCAGGAATTTGTTCAGCACGTTCCACGAGTTGATCAAATAGGGTGCTGTTGTGAATGAATCGTCTGAAAGGGACATAGATTACAGAACAGTCAAGAGAGTGTGAAATGCCAAGTTAAAATTCCCTTCTGCAAATAAAGGCTGTGCTCCATAATTTTTCTTATCTACATTAGAATCTCATAAGCATAAATAATTACAACTCACTCTGCCGCAGCTCCATGACGAAAGAAGTATGTGTACGTCTGCATTAGATCTATTTCATTGGATATGGTATTAGGCTGACTGTCGGATTCTTTGAATTGTAAGACATCTTTTGCATTGGCAAAAACATCCATACAAGCACCATAGCCCACAGCAACCTTAGGTTGCCGGATTCTGTCAGGGGTTTCCACGTCAGTCAGACCACGAAGAATAGCCCGAAGCTCGCATATTTCACAATCTGTAGCTGGCCGAAGCCACAAAGCAACCAAGAAGACTATGAAAGACAATGAAAAGCCTACATGAAATATTTTCCACTCCATATTTACGCGTGTCTCTTTTCCAAACTTTAAATTTAAACACCAGCCGTCAGGCAGGAATCCCCTGAACCTCAACAACCTAGCAGAAGCTTCTGTTGTCAGTTCAAAACATGAGAAATTGCGCTCAAGACTATGAAAAATTGTTGAAAACTTTTCGATTGTCACATGTTTTGTTCCATACGACGTTCACTTGTCTCTCCGTGATCCGTCTGCCAAGAGATCGCCTTCCGAGGTTAAAGAAAGGGTAAAATTAATTTACTGTTCGTTCTAGTACCGAACCATCTGTTTATGAGTTGATGAACGCTTGCGCCCAATTTCTTACCTTCACTAAATCGTATGTAGTATTTTGCGTGCGCTTTACACATTCCATAATGCATCAAACTGGGTCCCTACTTCTATGGATTTTAGGCTATGTCTATCCAGTTTGGTACAGTTTCCTAATTTGAGGCTTTCTATGATTCTCACTTAACTGTCAATGTATCGAACTAGTTATTAGATTGTTGCGAACATTTCGATTGATCCCAACTTTAGTTCTGTTGTTTCTTGTACACTGTCGCGTAATTTTATTGGTACCGAAAGCTCTCGGTCCAGAGTCATGGTGACCGTCTACTAGAAACTCGATATAACCTATTCCTTACTTTTAACCACTCTTTCCACTCATCAACGGACATAATTTTTCATCATACTCTTTCAAGGATTCCATTGCTCTTCGTTTATGAATCACTATTATGGAGCTTATTGTGACACTCTCTCTACTTGATCTTTAAGTTGTTCATTTTCCTAATTCAGGCTTAATAATATTCCTTGATGTTCTTTTCTTAGGTAAAATGGCTTCTCTCGCACGTTCACTTCGCCCTGCTATGCGCCTGCTGTCCAGCAGCCGCCCTGTTGTCACCACCAAGCGGGGTTACGCTGATGAAATGTCTTTCACATTCGCTGCGGCCAACCAGGCAAGTGTTTATGTAGTGGTTTGCTGCATCATGTTGCTCGCATGTGAAAGGAAATTGTTGATTCAATGCTGTGTTTTTGTGGGCAACAACTTCTTAATTCTGTCTGCAGGTTTATTATGTTGGAGCCAATGTGAAGCAGGTTGATGTTCCGTCTTTCAGCGGTAGCTTTGGTATTCTGCCCAATCACGTTCCTACCCTTGCTGTCCTGAAACCTGGTGTTGTCACTGTCTATGAAGCCGATGGAAACAAGAAAGAAGTTTTTGTTTCTAGTGGAACAGTAGGTTTCTTATACCATCAGTTCTTCTCCTGACAACTGCTTCCCATACTTTAATCTCATCTTAATTTTGTGAACAGGTAACCATCAATGACGATTCATCAGTGCAAGTTCTAGCAGAGGAAGCATGCCTGGTTTCTGAGCTCGACAAGGCTGCCTGTCAAGATGTGCTGAGGAAAGCTGAAAGCCAGCTGGCATCTGCTTCAAGTGAGGTTGAAAAGGCAGAGGCTGCAATTGCTGTTGAAGTTGGTCAGGAACTTGTTCGAGCAGCTGCTTAATTTTAATATGCATTTTATGATCCTCCTTGATTAGTTCTATATTGAAATTATTGGCCATTGATTCTATCCTCTAGTCAGTGGCTTCCATTTTCCCAATTTTTTTATTTGATCCGAAAGTTTTACATAAAGAATTTGGTTGGAGGATGATGCAATTTGCATCAATAGGACTTATTGCACTTGTCCTGTGGACAGGATGTGAGGTTCGTGTTTAAGCTGCTGTACTACTAATTATGAAATCCCTCAACCGTTATCAGGTGTCAACTCTGTAGATGTAAATATGCACATACTGCCATTACTGCTTCTGAGGATTAAAATGGTTACAAAATAAATTTCTTCGTAATTTCAACTTAAATCTGAACCAAATCTCTCTCATGGAAGTGGCATAAGAATCATAGAGAGGGAAGCAAGTGAACAAGTTACACCATATTTACATTTATTATTCACAAGTGTTAAAATACATGCGACAAAAGCAATCGCTGTCTCCATAATGGAAGGTGAGACAGAAATAACACCAACACTGTTTCAGTCATTATTTCCACCATAAATACAACAGTAACATAAAAATAGGACAATGGCTTCCACTATCACAGTTCATTATTTGGATGGTTGGGAAGATGGAGTATGCAAACCTTGCTGTGTGGCCCACAAGCGTGCATAAATGGAATTTGGTTTGTTAACAAGATCCCTATGAGGGCCCTGCTCTACCAACCGTCCCCCGTCGATGACCAATATTTCATCACAGTCCATCACGGTCGAAAGTCTGTGAGCTATTGCTATTGACGTCCGACCTGCGGTGGCCCGTCGGAGGGCGTCAACAATATTCTGAAACAAATTTGCGAGCGGTTATTTGCCGTGGCTCCAGCCTGAACACAATTACTCAAGTACCCTCGTGAATTTACAAACCTGTTCAGTAATGGAATCAAGGGAAGATGTGGCCTCATCAAGAACCATGATAGGGGAATCTTTCAGTATGGCTCTGGCAATGGCAACACGTTGTTTTTCTCCCCCCGACAACTTCAGTCCTCTTTCTCCCACTTGAGTTTCATATCCTTGCGGCCAGCTAAGAATAGAATTGTGTAGGTCTGCCAGTTTGGCAGCTTGAATGACATCCTCCTTCGATTTGCTTAATGATCCATAATTCACATTGAATTCAATGGTATCATGAAAGAGCACAGAATCCTGGAAAAATTATAGGAAAAACAAGATTTTACAAAACAGTAGTGGAAATAAGATCCAACACATTATTTGAGCAATGAAATATTCTTACCTGTGGCACTACAGCTAATGACCTGCGTAAATCATCAAGACTTATGTCTTTTATATTTTTCCCCCCAATTAGAATTTCCCCATGGTTTGGTTCAAAGAATCTATACAGTAGTCGTACTATGGATGATTTCCTAAAAAATAATGATAAAATAATATGTTACCAGTAAAAAAGCAAATGCACACCAACATTTCTCTTCGGGATTTATTTTAAATTATTTACCCTGTGCCCGAGCCACCAACAATGGCAACTTTCTTCCCAGCAGGTATTGTGAAAGAGAGATCTTGAAAAATAGGCTTTCCAGGCAGATATTGAAAACTAACATTGCGGAACTCAATAAATGCATTTGATGGTGTCACCAAGAATGGAACACTATTTGGTTTACTCTGAGAAAATAAAAATATGTAAAATGGGAAAAGAGACCAAAAAATCTTGGGGAATGACAAAAGCTGATACTTACTTTAATTTGAGGATCTACTGTCATCAAGGTAAACATTGTTTGCATATCAATTAGAGCTTGGCGGACCTCTCTGTACACAGAACCAAGAAAGCCTAGAGGAACTCCTAGTTGAAATAGAAGTCCATTAACCATGACAAGGTCACCAACAGTCATTGTACCTAAATTGAATGAAAGATTGGAATTGTCATGTAAGCTTAGGTTTATCAAAATTCAAGCCCAATGAAAAGTATTTGTAATACCTCCAGTGATTTGGTGAGCTGCCATCACCATTATCAAGCTTAAAGCTCCACTGAAAATAGCATTCTGGCCAAAGTTGAGGAAAGCTAAGCTTGTGCTTGTTTTTAAAGACGCATCTTCGTACTTTTTCAAGGATTTGTCATACTTGTTAGCTTCAAATCCCTCATTGTTAAAGTACTGTTTGAGAAAGATCACAATCATTTAAATACAGTAAAACCAACAGAGGTAGAAGATGATGTGGGAGCCTCTCATACCTTGACAGTCTCATAATTGATGAGGGAATCTATGGCATGATTACCAGCTTCATTTTCAGCTTTATTCATCATCACTCGAAATTTAGTGCGCCACTGAGTAACACCCAAGGTATAAGCAGTATAAAGACCCACACAACCAACAGATAGTGCAGCATACTCTGGACCACATTTCAAACCCTACAATTAATAAGATTAGAGATTAAAACTAAGCTTACTGGCTCCTTTTTCCTATTAATGGCAAAAGAGAAACGGGGTGGCCCGCCCAGACTTATATAATGATTTCAAAATATTTACCAAGATAGTTGCTACCATACCAAGTTCAAATACAGTGGGAACAATATTAAAAATCATGGCTGACAGAGCAAAGTTGATTCCTCTGCTTCCACGATCAATAGTCTGGCAATATTTGTCAAAGAGAATCTTAATTAGAATAAGCTCAAGGAAAGTGTTATTAGTTCAATGAAACATACTGCACCACCTTTGAAAGTGCCCCTGTTTTACGAGACAAATGAAATGAAAGGTCTAGATTATGAAGATGTAAGAAAACATTGCGGGCAATTTTCCTTATTGAGTGTTGAGCTACTCGAGCAAACACGGCATTACGCAATTCATTGAATCCTGCAGCTCCAGCGCGAGCAATGCCATCTAAACAATGTGTAAAGAGGAAAAAATAGTTAACGAAGATATGTCATTTAGAAAAATGATACAGTGCATGTTCCAGAAGAAAAACAAACTTACATCCTAAAAGAAGAGCAATGGAATAAGTGAGCACCGTGTCCGGAGCACTTGATAGATTTAAAATACCTCCCTCAGCAGACATGTTTAACGTATCCACAGCATACTTAAACAAAAAAGGCACAGAAACATTGAGCGTTTTTGCACCTACTAGCAAACCCATGGCAATTTTCACTCTGTTCCTTATGTCTGGATCATCCTGGGAAGTAAGTAAATACCAAACAAGTATAAATTTGTTGGCCTTAACTTAAGTCCAATCATTTCATTTAAAGCAAGAAAAAATACCTTGGGCCATACATATGACAGCATAGCTTTAATCATTTGTTTACTATTGACTTTATCCTCTCCATTCCTCGGTGGTCCATTGTCATCATCATGGATATGGCCCACTCCAGCATGGAACCATACTCGTCCATCTTTCCTTTGAATTCCAGTATTACTAAGCTGACTAGAAGTGATATCCTTCCCGGTGTTTTTCTTTTTTGATGCGTCGTTTGCTGTATAAACTGTTGCTTGTGAGACGCTAGACTTGCTTGTGCTGCTAACTTGCTAGATAAAAGAAGATAATAAACATTCACTTTTCTATTTTTCTAAAAAAAATTATTTGCACATGGGAAATTGATAATAAGAGGCACTTCTTCGTTGTTCCCAATGACACTGACATATTTGTTTAGTAAACATTATCGAAGTTCCCATGACATGTGAAAGTATGTCAATCAAAGTTATATTACCAACATGATTGAACAAAATAAGAAAAGACAAATGTTTTAATAAATAACAATCAGCTAAAGTTTTAATTTTTATTTAAAAAATTAGTAATAATGGTCTTACCCTAACCGCAACTGTAGGTAATCTTCCAAAAAATTGTGAACGAAAAGTGACGCTAGAATGTTTGTTTAGACCGTACGTTCCAAATGAAATTTTTGGTTCCGGAGGATAATGGTCTGTTGATAATTTCAGAAACCTGTTTTTCCATAACTTTTTAAGGCCAAAAACATTTCGTCTGCAAGGCCAGAGCAGCGCCATGTTTGTTTGCATCGAGAGAATCGACTGAATTTTCGATTACAGCTGACGACAAATACATTGGTACCAACCACTGAACAATAGTTTTGTATTGCCGGCTAAATCAATGTAACGCATTTAATGTCGTATAATTAGAGAAATACTACAAAAACTTAATAGGAAACACGAATTTTGATGCCACCTATCAATAAGAGCCTAGCGAAGTTGATGCACCACAGCGGCAGTGGAGCGGAGGTGGGGTAGGGGTAGACAACATTAGCAGTGAGCACCAAATGAATGATGTCGAGAAAAGCTGAAAATTATTCTTAAATTCATTCTTGTCTGAATTTTCTTCCAATTGATATATCTTCAAGCATACGCCGTCCTTCCAATTTATTTTCCTCGCAATGGTGCTCAGAAAGAAGACGTTGATTTGAGAAGGAATCTGAACTCTCATCTGATATGATGTTCAAAGATGTGTCAAAGATTGTAGTGTAACCTTTCTCGGTCACTTTAGAAACTTCAGAAGACTTCAGCCATGCTTCAGACGGGTGATGCTTGTTCAATTTTCACAGCTTAAACAGCTGTTAAAACATCGCGACAGTAGATCGCTGCAGTTGCCACAAGGTTCTACCCACTAGGATCATCCTGCCAGGATCTGTTTGACAGCATCCTGGAGCTGGAGCTGGAGCTGGGCTGAGTGGATGAATGAGCTTTCATGCAAAGTGAAACCGGCCTTGTGAAAAACATGGCTGGATTTGGTCGTCTTTTGGCTTGGTGGAGAATTCTCTTAGTTTTTCTTATCTTGTGGCTTGTGGTGCTTCTTCTTTCTGGTGTTCGTTCACCAAATCCGTCACCAAGCCCAGAGCTTGTTGATCGAATGCATAAAGCGTTCAAAGATTTACAAGCTCTTAAACAGCAGAATGCTAAATTGAGAAGCCTCTTCCTGGGTGCTCAGAGGTAAGATAGCAAAGTTAAATTGGTTTCTTGTATTGCATTTAAACTTAAACCTTCAACCATGTAAAAATGTGCTTTGTTTCGTCAATCTTATCTTGGAACCTTGTCTTCCAGTGGGACGCTCTTAGAAGGTGATCAAGTGGGAACCTTAGTGGATGAAAATGAGCAGAGTGGTGGAACACTCATTCGTGGTAAGCCTAAATCTATTTTTGTTTTTGTTTTAAATGTGACAATTTTCTCTATATTTTATTGAATGTAATAATGTGCATCTTACCATAGGGCAAGATGAACCAGGCTCAGGCTATGAGGAAATTCTACGAAAGTTGTATAATGGAATAACTGAATTAGGATTTTATACAAAGGCAGAACTAAAGATGGCTGTGAAACAAATTAAAGAGGAACCTACATCAGCCACCATTAACCGACTTTTAGCCTTGCAAGCTGGAATTCGAGAACATAAACAGTAGGAATTTTAGAAGTGTTTTGCTGTTATGAAGTCATTGTTACTTCCTAATATTATTAAAAAACTCTTTTTCCTTTAAACAGGTCTCTTTTAAAATCACTCTCTCAAGTGAAAGAAGAAGATGGGTATGCTCTTTGGCGTGAACAAGAATCAAAGGATTTGAGTGATCTTGTTCAACGCCGGATTCAATTTCTTCAGAATCCAGAGGACTGTTCTACGGCAAAGAAACTTATTTGCAATTTGAACAAGGTATGAAAGGATTAATACAAATGAAGCGCATTCCAGATATGATGTGTTATCTCAATCTCTCATTATACTTTGGGCTTTTAGGGCTGTGGATTTGGATGCCAGCTCCATCACGCTGTCTACTGCTTCTTAGTAGCTTATGGTACACAAAGAACACTTATTCTCAAATCAAAAGGATGGAGGTATCACAAAGGAGGCTGGGAAGAAGTTTTCAAGCCTGTCAGTGAAACATGTCTTTCCCCAGAAGGTGACAGTCTTGCAAATTGGCCAGGTATTTCTTTCTTCTAATTTTTAAAATAAATTTAATGACTTAACTTCCTTTGCTGAAGTTTCGATATTTTAAGTTAGGCAACTTAAATTTTCTTCTCTTATCTCAGGAAAACCCGACACTCAAGTCCTAGTGCTTCCTATTATTGATTCTTTGTTACCACCTCGTTCGCCCTACCTGCCTCCTGCTGTGCCTGCAGACCTAGCTCCTCGTTTAGCTAGACTGCATGGGCATCCTCTTTCATGGTGGGTTGGCCAATTTCTTAAATATTTGCTTCGGCCTCAAGCTACAATAAGCGATCTTTTGAAAAATACTGCGGACAAGTTAGGCTTCAAAGGCCCAATTGTTGGGTGAGTATTAATTCTTTGGACCTGCACTGTTAGTGCATTTGTTAATAAGACAGTTATCTATATTCCGTAAGCTTAGCCAGAGTCCTTACACTGGAGTTTTGCACTTCCAGGGTTCATATTCGTCGAACGGACAAAGTTGGTACAGAAGCAGCTTTTCATCCTCTCGATGAGTACATGCCTGCAGTTGCAGAGTGGTTTGATCAACAAATTGCCAATGGTAAAACAATTGATAAAAGACGTGTTTTCCTAGCCTCAGATGATCCCAAAGTAATATCAGAGGCACGAACCAGGTAGTTATTTTCCCGTGTGCTTTGTGTTCAATTCTTCTTTGCAATCTATATCATAATTTAAATATGTTTGTTGTCCTGTCAAGATTTCCAGACTACGAAATACTGGGAGACCCTGACATTGCCAAAACTGCTGCCATTGGAACAAGATATTCTGACACCTCACTTTATGGCATCATTATTGACATTCACTTCTTGTCTCGATGTGATTTCCTTGTGTGTACATTCTCATCTCAGGTATACCCATACTGCTTAATATTTAATATTCAAAACTCGATTTTTGTTGTTGTCTTTTGTGTAGTTTACATTGTTTCATAAAACATTACTTTTTTCCTCAGGTTTGTCGAGTAGCATATGAAATCATGCAAAGTCTTCATGTTGATGCTTCTGCCAGCTTCAGATCTCTAGATGACATATATTACTACGGGGGACAAAATGCTCATAACTGGAAAGTAGCGCAATCTCATGTCGCTAAGAGAAAAGAAGAAATTGATTTGAAGGTTGGAGATTCCATAGCAGTGGCAGGGAACCATTGGGATGGCTATTCCAGAGGAAAGAATCGGCGTACAGGCATGCAAGGTCTCTACCCCTCTTTCAAGGTAATCAAGTCATGATCAGCAATGCGGCCAATATTATATCTTGCCACTCCATCTTAATGTTGTTATGTCACTTATATACCCACTTCAACATTCTCCAGATGTAACATTTTGCTATTATTACATTTCAGGTTGAAGATCGAGTAGAGGCTGTTAAATTTCCTACATACCCTGAAGTTCCTCTGAAAGTGGTTCAAGATGCTCCATCTGCTGTGGAGTCATGAATATTTTGTTTTTCTCAATGGTTTGGTTTGGGATCCACGTGTGCCTTTTTCACCCGGCTGGCCCGGAAACTCATGTATTGTTTTAAGGCATCTTAAATTAATCCAAACAAGAGACCCAGGTTTTTAAAAATTTTACTTTAGGTTTCTTGAACAAATTTACTGTGTCAAATTTTTAACTTGTATCTTTTAACATAGAGCCTCAAGATTTGTAATAGTTCTTATTCATCCGCACTGTGGCATGACCTTTTGTGAAGTTGCTACCTTAATTTAAATGATGAGACTTGCAGTTAATGTTCTAGTCTGGATATTACCACCAGATGGCAATATTTATCTGTAGACTAACCTATCGTAATACACAGCACGTGGGGCCACTTATAAAACTGATTCATTTTAATTTTTTCTCTTCAGAATGTCATTTTAAATCTAACCTTCACATTGTTTTTTTTTTTTAAATAATTTATTCTTTCATTTAATTGAGTTGTATTGGACCTGAACTCTTGAATATTTACCGCCCTTCCCCTTCAACCTTCAAGGTATTTTCTTTGAGTATTTTGCTTGAATTTACTCCTGTCTCAAGTGCCACCTACTGTCAAATACTCACATTCAAATTGCCTTAATTATTCTCATCATGGAGGTATTTGGATGATTGACTGTCTTCCAATTAGTATGGTCTCTTACACACTTTATGTTTTTTCTTCGTATCATGAACATTTTGTTTTATCATGTTGTTGCTTTTGGTTAGCTAATTCAACTCTCAAATGTAAGTTTCCCCCTACCTATTGTTCAAATTTTAAAGCTGTGAAAATCTGTTGCCCTGGAACAACCATTAGTATTGTAAAATGCTGTACCAGCATATAAATATGTTGCATGTGTGTACATATTCCCATGTAAGTGTTCATGTGTATAAGTTTGTATTTATGGACCTATGTATATTTGAATTGTATGGAATCAAAGATCATGATTTTTATAGGTGTAAAATAGACTTTGTTTTTAAATTGAATATCATTCTTGTGTGTAAGTATTTGTCCAAAACCTGCATTAGTGTACCCCTCCTTTAAAACGCATGACTCTAAAATTTGTCAGAGAATAGATACTTGTTGATGATGTTGATGTGTGGTAAAGTGAGATGAACATCGTCCAGGTGACTGTTGCCGAACATTTCATTATAAAAATAATCAAATAACGTGTCAATGTCAAGAAATTTAATCTTGCTGGTTTACCTATTCATATTGTTCCTCTTGTTACATTACCTTATCTTTCTAAGCAAAAGTTTTGAGATTGGTTTCAGAAATGAGAGATAAAGTATGTAAGCTTATTCTAGGACATAGTACAAAGAAGTGAAAATTTTATCAAAGAATTGGTTGTTTTCATGAACACCTCATAATTCACAATTCTGGTCTATATGGTATTAAGGTTCTATTATACGAGTTAGACTCTAGTAGTGTTGGTTGTTGTTCATAAGGGACCAAAAATCTATAAATTTTACAAGTCGCTTTCCTTGGTTGGTACACTTTCCTTTTTTGTCTTTAGATCAAACTGGTTGATTCTGTCTTGACTCATCACTTTTGACCGCAAAGTTTTCATCTTGAGCACTGTTATCAACTTGACTTGCTATTATTTTTTATAGTAAACATGTTGTGTTTTAAATGTTATGTTTTGTTTATTTTTGTATGTTTTATTTTTGTTTTCTTTTTTGAACAAAGTTTTGTCAGCATTTGGTGTATGGTGAGATGACTCGTCATCTTAGAGCGATCAATTTAGATCTGGTTTTTATTTTATGCAGATTTATTGTTTCGTAAGATGTAGTTCAACCAACAATTTCTTAGTATTATGAAGAGTTTTCTCCAAACCCGCTTGCACCTATTTCCCTGTCCCCTCTGACCTGCGGCAAGAGCTGTGCATGGGTGAACTGAATTTACCTGGTCCGTGCACCCCATTCCAAAGCTGGATTTAGTTAAAACAGGTAGAGGGCAAGAATGGCCTCTTTGGTGCTAGGTGATGTAGGTTTATCATCTGTTAGCCATCATCTAATGAATTTTTATAGGTAAAGTTGATTTTGCCTTACTTTTGATTTGTTTTCTCTTAAAATACATTATTCTCACTTTCTTCTTACTTGTATTTTTCCACTGTGTTAGTTACTCTTATATCTTATCTTTTCTGTTGGTTGGGTTGTGGTGAATGACAAGAATAACTGTATTCCTGTTACTGCATTTATGCTTTGGGACCACCTCAGAAGCATTTCAGCATTTAAATTATCCCATCATGCAATTGTAAAATTTGTGATCTGAAATTTTATAGCCTTCCTAAACTGAACTGTGTACCTTTGGTGCTTACAGTAAATTTTGTGTGTGCATTTTCTCATGTGGCAATTCTCAGTTTGTCTGTTGCCTGTTTACATTGTTTTGATTTGATTAGTATTTGTTGCACTGCTGATATTGTTGATCAAAAGTTGATCGTTAAGACATCTACTTACTGTGATATTTTAGGCACTGTGTTTATTTGTAGTCATATGATAATAAAGAATGCATTTCCATGAGCTGTATGAGGTAAAGTGTGACTGGTTATTAAATGCAATGGTACTCCTAAATTTGCAACTCAATGTTTATTTCATAGAGTTTTTGTTTTATTTAATTTAATGATTTACACAAAAGGAAAACATTTAACAATGGGGTATTGCTTTCCTAATGTTACATGAACATGATACTCATGATGCTCTTTTTAAAAAAATATTACAAATTAGAGACTTTGTTTAGCTTTCAATTTATATCCGAGCTGAATGACAAATCTGAAGCTCAAAAGGTACAAATGAAATGTAACAGATGTGTTCTGTTAATCAGCTCTTCCACTCAACCAACACATTCACTCACGCGCACTCTTATGACACGAGCTCATGTCATAACTTCCACTCATACACGTACTAATATTATGTAGCAAGCTTTCCAGGATGGACAAGTAGTTGATGCAGCACTGCTGAGGAGAATACTTAAGAGACTTCGACAGAAATGCGTGGTCAAAGACCAGAAAAAATGTCACTTTCACATTATTGTAATGATGAAATAGCACAGGAAACCTCTTAAAAAAGACATCTCCCACTCCTGCATCCCCTCCTTAAAAATGCAGAATAGAAAAAAGAAATTCCGTTCACTAGATTTTGGCTTTGCACTTAATACTTAACTTCCTCTGGAGTCAGATTTCTGCCAGATCAACAAAGTTCTTCGAGAGTTCACTTTTCCTTTCACATTTTATCAAATATCACAATCTGTTCAGCTGAAGGGATAAATTAACAACAAAATTCTCAAGTAGCTATGAAACGGATCACTTCCTCCAGCACTTCAGTCTATTTGACTAGGGTGACCTGACCATAGAAGTGAAACTTCAAATCAAATACGTTGAACAGTGAAATTTTTAGTATGGAGATTTGATAGTCATTTTCAAATGGAAGAGGTCACCCTGTAGCCTGTAGGCCATTACTAGCTCCCACTACAAGCTTGGAAAATGTAAGAAACAAAAGATAAGGACATGGCACCATTTTGATAGGCCAGCACATCAAGTTAGAAAAAGAAAAATAAGCAATATGAACAATAGAAAAGCCAACAATTCAGTACAAAAATATTTATTAATCATGTATCAAAATGAATTCTCACACTTGAACTATCCTGACAGCTTTCATTTGCCCACAAGTATGGAAAACAACAAAATGACAGGTCATCTCGTACCCTACATGTATTCCAAATTTTCTCAATCAGATACCTACCTACAAACATATAATATTTCGATCACAAATCATAACTGAGCATATCAAGATTCAATATAACTGAAGAGGAAAAAAGTAATACGAGAAAAAGCCAGTGAAGCATAACGAATTTGGAAACTTAAAATTAGAAACTAAGCAACAGAACTGATGGATTTCACCACAAATGACAAAAAAAAAAAAAGAAAGAAAGAAATACATAGGGAGCAGTTGACAGTAACAACCACTTTACAATTTAAAATTTTTTTTAATTTGGAGGACAAAACTTGAACATAAAATTACATAAAATCCTTTTGGGGGTAAAATGGACCCTTAAAACATAAACATGTTTACTAAGTGTCCATCACTGGGCATGACTTAATACTGGTAGTACAAAAGCTTTCCAACAGTCTGACAATGGCTTTGTTCTCATAAATCTTCTTTCAAGGATGAGTTATAAATTACAAGTACAAATGTATCAAAGTACTCCATAAAAACCACCGGGTATTAATTTTTTAAAAGACATTGGCCAGCTTACACTTGTATTTGGACAATTGAATCAATTAAGTCAAGTGCAGCATGAAGGAGGGGAGGGAGGGTTCCACCAAAATTCATTTACACTCCCTCAAAGTGGTATCACAACATTAAGTACAGTTCATAAAATCAAAACAGAATGACAATACAGTGACCATACTTAAAAAAGCTGCCCAACACACATCCTCCACAATTCAAGTGTATCACAAGTTTCTCACAACTACCCATTGAAAAAAAAAGGTGGCGTAAATATTTCTTTCGTTAAAAAATGCGGGCCAAAATATAAAGTCCTGTGATTGGTTAAGCAGTAAACTCATCTCACATATCCCGAAAAGATAGGCATGCTACTGTCAATTGAAGTCAATACTGCATGTGAACACACATAGACACTTCAACAGGAATATTGGCCCAGGGGATGGTTCATGGAATGCATCCTCACTACCCTAATATTTCAACAGGTACCTCAGTCGTTCTGTCAGCAGATACTACTGACCCCATCGCTTGATCATTTTCATACACAAGTCAAAATAAGCCATAAATAAATAAATAAACGAAGGAGATAAAATAATGGAAGGCGTACAAGCTCAGCTTGAAAATAATAACTTGAACTGTTTCATGGCAACTATTAATTCGCTTCAAAATGAAGTTCTCAATTCGCTGCAATAAGTTAACATATATAATGCCAAAGAACTGCAGCCAAATTCAGGAGAAGCAAGAAGTCTAAATTGGAGCAGCACAGTACTGATGATTGCCAAATTTGTATTGAAATATATTCTAATGACTGCCTAAACCTTTTCATGATCAGTTGCCCTCCTCATTATTATTATCATTAATAATATAACTACCATGAGAAAATAAGCAACTCCTGTGATACTACTGCAATGACTGCTTCAAATTCATGAATTCAATGCAGGCTGTCTCTTTACAATGCCACTGAGACCACCTCCATCTTCCCACAAAAACCTAACGGAAGACATAACTGCAACTTGAGCCTGGGCATGAATGAATCAGCATAGAGTGGCCCTTATTGGTAAGAGGAGAACTCCTGAGGGTCAGTCAGTAGAGGCCATGTTGAACTATTGCACCCAGCGTCTCTTTCCCAAATCTGTGAAAAATAACAACCTCAAATACTGTTGCAAGAACAGGGATTAACAAGGTAAAATTTAATTGAAGATTACCTAATTTGGAAGAGAAAAGCTAGAATTTGTCCTGAAAGAGGAACAAGTTGTTGGTGGCTGCAACAGCAATAATATTCTCTAGAGGATGCCAAGCTGTGTGAAGGATTTTCTTGTTGAAGTCCAGGCAGTCTACACTGATATCATCCTTCTTCCTTTTCCCTCCAGTACAAACCTGCAGAACGGAAATTTGAAAATTTCATAAGAACAGACAATAGACAATGGAACGAACATTACAAAATTGATTCACTCAATAGTACCTTTCTAGGCTTGAGTAAAGTCTTGGGTTTAGCCACGTCCCGCGAGGCTTCCAAAGTAGCATCCTTTTTAGTTGTTCGGTCAAACATACGGAAGAAATTATTGTAAGACCCAGTCATAATGGCAGAGTCATTACCATTCCAGCAGCACTCAAATTTATCAAAAATGCAATCATTCTCATATAATGAGCATAATTTAGACCTTAGATACTCATGGACCTAGAAAAAATTCATACAATTTATTTCATTTGGCAGATAATAGTGGATAATAGCATCCAATAGAACACGATAAGAAGACATACCGGATAGGACTCAATAGGTTTCGTTTCCATGTGCAAGTCCCACACTTTCACAGACAGGTAGTCCCTTGAGATCATATACCGTCCAGAATTTGAGAGTTTCACATCCGATATACTTGAAATAATTTCTGAGAAGAAACTTCGATTGGTTGGATCTTCAGGCTCTTCAAACACTGCAAAGGAACACATTGAAGGTTTACTCAAGAAACCTTTACTAAAACAACAACTCATTGACTAATCGACAATGTCTTACACTTCGAATGCCTATCACAAAGAGCAGCTGCTCGCATGTCGCACAGCCGGATGGTTCCTTTGCTACTGCTATATACAAAGAGGTTGCACTCCACAGGGTGAAACTCTGCAGCAGTGATAACTTCTGTCAGTTCTTCCATGTTGGTGGGCTTAATATCTACAATATTGAAGCTCTGATCTGTTATCTCTAGATGCCAGAGATTGATTCGAAGATCATCTGCAGACAAGTATGTCTCCTGGTCAGAGTTAACGCTAATTGAGTTTATGTGGTATGTGTGCGCATTGGCAAAAATTCTTCGTGGTGATGCTTCAACCATGAGCTCCATGGGCTTTATGACAGGGACCTAGAGAAGGAAAAAGTTGTTAAATGCATGAGCTTTTAAAAATATTTAGTTAAGTTTAAGAAGTTTACAGTGAGACTTACTCTCAATTGTGTTATACATGATGGGTCACGAGCCTGCCCAGTCTCTTCTTTGGTGTTGTAACCCTCAACTTTCTTGTCCCTTTCAGACACCTTCCACAGTTTAATGGTTTTATCTGATGCCAGATGCAAAGACAAACAGAATGAATTTGAGGTAAAATCACAGAATCATCAGTTACAAAAAGCACTCTGAATCCACTCACCATTAGTGGACAGCAAGAAATGAGCTTGGTTCTTTCTCTTGAGCCACCGGATTTTATTGATTTTTTCTTCTATTTCTAAACTTTTGAGGTAATCGAACTCAGGTTCATGGCTCTGGAAAGTGCTGTAGACATTGTATTCTCCTCTCCTTGGAATTACACTTTTACTCTGAAAATAAGTTGGAAAGTATTGACGATTAAAGTTGGACAGTCAAAATTTTGAAAAGGATCAATTAAACAAAGATACTGTTATATACTCACAACAGGGTCTCTTTGAAATATGACAACACGTCCTCCTTTGTCGCCAGTTGCTAGAAGATCTCCATCATGGTTGAATTCAACACATGATATTATATCAGCTGGAAAAAAAAATAAAACGTCAAGAACTGACTAAAACCAAAATTAACAAAAGCTAATGCTGCGATCTGTTATCAGGATTTTGACACAAGTGCTACCAGAAGCTGTCAGAATGAATGAATTATCATTCAAACAATCAGACAGATTCAAAGCACAACCAAGTTAGATCACTAAATATCATCAACACACCCTAAGCTAACGCAGTTCTATTTATTTATTTGAGTTAAATCCAACTTCGTACATTAAAATCGACACTTTAGTTTAAGGTAGACCTTCGAATCGTTTGAGGTTATGGGCCGTCAACATAGGCAAGGACTATGACAACAAAAGATATATTTCCCCGGTCAAGAAAGCCCGAAAGAGTAATGCAATAACGTTCTTTCCAGCAAAATACATCAGCAAATTCCGTAAATTAAGGGCACTCATACCCCCAACGGTTTACATACCCGGTCCCGAGTTTTGCGCCTTTTCTTAACTTTGCAAGTGTTCGGACAGCGGGGGCGAAAAGACCGCAACAAAGTGACAAATACCCCAGCCGATTTGGATTTGTGCAGAAGGTTAAGAACGGGCGACATTATCAGAGTAGCAAACTCTGTAGGGGAGATTCGGGAAAGTGGGCGCAACTGTCGAATCCTTTAATTTGGCGACTGGAGAACTAGAGCGGCCGGACCAAGTCAACTAGGCTTGGACTTTACTCACCTTCCGTAACGTCGTCGTCCAGAGTCCCTTTAACCTGGGAAAAGTACCACTGCGTGTCTCCATTCCCTGGAAGAGACACCACCATTTCAGAATCTCGGTTGGAAGAAAACTAGGCCGGTTACTCCTCAACCACTGCGCGATCGCACCAGCCCACCAGCGCAGCCACCGGATCGGATCCGACTAGCCAAACAGAGGCCTAAATGGGTCAGGACGAAGATAGGCTTCCAAATCTCTCACTTACCAGCCATATCAGAACCCGGGGGTTATTTGAATGTGTAATTCAAACCTCACTTTACAAGAAAAGCACCTTCAAACGTTAAATAATCAATAAGGGAGGCGGATGGAAAAAGATTTGTCACATTTCAGAATTAGATTTCTTTAGACCGTCCTTCCTTTATGGCGGCACTCACGAGTGAAAAACATGTGACGTCATGCGCGATGCTATTTTTTCTGAACAAGTGACTGTCGCACCGCGTTGAGGTTTCCGTCTGCTTCGCTAAGGCGCCAAAGTTTTGGCGCGCGATTTGAAATGAAGCCATTGCGATGCTTGTGAGGGATCTGGGCTTGTCGGTATCCCATTATTTCAGGCCTTGAAGGAGAAATGTGAGAGTGGAACGTAAGGGGCCACCTGAAAGCGCGCCTAAATCACTAAATAAACCAAGATTGGTTGAGAGGAAAAGTTGCAATAAATAGTTCAAAATCACACAAAGTCCCTCAAGACCTCCAAAGACCTCTGTTTGGTGGCGAGTGGTTGAAAATAAAATACATAAGATTTAAAAACATTTTTAAAAAATTTTCATTGATTTACCTGAGCGTTTGCCGCCGTTGACGGCCGTGTTGATGATGCAGCCCAGCCTGGTGAGGGACGACTGGCGGATCATCTCCGTGGACTTGGCCAGGATCTGCCTGGGCGGCGACTGCGGCGACGGCGGCGGCGAGCTGCCCCTCACGGACTGCACGGACTGCACGGCGTGCAGGGCGGCCGCCTTGGCCGAGCCCTTGCCCGCCCCCTTGTCCTTCTGGGGCCGGTCTCCCCGCGGACTGGGCCCCCACAGGCCCACCCCGACGCCGACCCCCGCGTGCCTCATCGCCGTGGTGGACTAGGTCGGCGTGCTTGCGCACGCCCGGCACGCCTGGCTGCGGTCTGCGGTCGCCTGGGTCGCCGGCACGGGGCGCGGACGCCGTCAAGCCGCGTCAAGCTACCCACACCGCGCCGAGCCGAGCTGGGCTGGGCTGGGCCGGGTGGGCTTAGACGCCGATCAGCACCAGGGCGCCTGCAACAAAACGAGAGAGATCTTAGAGCACCTCTAGAGCGCTCGCATCGCAAGGACTGGCGGGGACTCCCAGCCCCCCCCCCCCTTTCCTCTGACACTCGGGTCCCGACTTCCCCGGGCCGGCCTGGACTGGACGGCCTGGATGGCCACCGCATGGGACGCACACTGTGGTCCCGCCTTTTGCGATTCGGCCAAGTGCAAGGCAAAATGCAAGGCAAGGCTTGCATTTCGATCTGCAAATGACATTTTCGCAAGGAACACCTAGCGTGGTGTATGCGTTTCCTATAATTGCAAGTAAAAACTTGCAGAAACGCAATGCATTAATTGCACTGCCTCCCGCCTTGCGATTCTGCAAGGCAGAACGGGGCAAAACGCAAGGTTTGCCCTGCGCAGTCGCATGGAAGGCCTTGCAGAATTGCAAGTCCATCCGCACTTCGACGATGCAGGCCGTCCCTTGCGGTAATGCAATGGCTGCTTTGCGATTCCGTATGCCTCGGCCTGCAGCTTGCCCTCGGGCTTGCCTTGCAACAGTGCAAGCAGACCATTGCGTCTTGACTGCAAGGCTACCCCCACCATCGCACGCAGCAGCCGTTCCCTCCGGCGCGCTCGGGCCATGTGCAGTACGGCGCCGTCGGAACCCTGACAAGGTCTGTAGTCTCGGGGTAAGCGTCCGCGCTACGAAGCTACAGGGCCGGGGTTCGATTCCACCCACCCAGTTGCGCATCTGTCCTTTGGGGCATGCTCCATGAGGAGGGGAAGATGAAGAGACGCATCGGGAAGCGTGCCTTGCAATGGAAATGCAAGGACTGCCTTGCATTTTTCTTGTGCGAGTGTGAGGGGCTGCCTTGCACGTTTGCAAGGCAGACCCGGGCAGACCGCACTCCACTCCTTGCGGGACCGGCAAAGCGGTCCTTGCACTTTTGCAAGGCATTGGGTGCCGATCTGCAAGGCACGACGAAAGCATTGACCTGCATTTCCTTCGGTTGCATGGCAAGCCTTGCAGTTGGGATGCAAACGTTCTACTGCGTTTTGGTACCCCATGGAGCCTTACAAAAGTGCAAGACACGAGCTAACCGTGCATGCCAATTAGAAGTCAATACCGTGCGGCGCATAAACACTCCGACCGCCTGATTCTGACAGCCCCCCCCCTCTCTCCCTTGCACCCGCGGAATGAGGAGCCCCACGAGTGAGGGGGAGGGAGACAGACAGTGGTGGCAGCATGTGCGGAATCAGTCAGACGGCGGAGGAAGCGACCGACGGGCGGATCCTTTGTCCTCAATCCTTTCCTGAGCACCACTGCCCCCCTCCCCTCCGGCCCGGACTTCCCTCTCTCTCGCTCCCACTACCTATATTAGCTGGCGCCCCGCAGTGTGCCGGCTGGGCGAGGCACTGCGAGGCACTGCGAGGCACGGCGAGGGCACTGCGAGGCAGGGACCAGGGACTCCCTGCCGGCGAGCCTGCACTGTGTAACCAGGGAGGATAGAGTGCGCCGGAAACGAGGGGGGGGGGAGTCTACTTTTAATAATAAATTCCTTTACTCGTCCCAGGGCAGCACTTCTCATCCCGGGTACACAGCACTCGACACCTTCGAGTTTGTCCGGCCCGACTGCCCCGCCGCCCCGCCCCGCAGTGAGTGTTGGAACCAGAAAGCAGGTAGCAGGTGGGGGGGGGGGCAGGAAGCAGCCCGCCTTGTTGACGTTTCCCTCCCTCTGCCTCCCAGTGCCTCCCACACAACCGCAGACGGCAACGCCTGGCGACGCCATTGGCACGAGGCAACGGGACAAACATCGAACGAACATGAAAGCGAATAAAGAAACAAGGACAGCGCGGCGCGATAGCCACCCGCTGAACGCTTATCGCGAGCAACGGGGAACCCGTCGCGTGGACATGGCGGGAATTTTTTTTTCTTTTCTGGGGGCGAGCGGGAGCCAAGGCCGGTGGCACGAGACTGCGAGACAGTGCGAGACAGCGGGGCGGCACGGGGGCACCGGCACCGAGCAACATGGGCCAGGCCTAGGCCAGGCCAGGCACGCCGCCTGCGACGTGGGCAGCACTCCGCGCGCAGGAGGCCGCGGGATGCCTACCCGCCAGGCGCTCCCCGTCGGCCGGGCCATGGCCGGGCGGTGAGGCCGTGACTCCCCGTAGGGCAAGCCCAAGCCCCTGGTGTTGCTCTGTCTCTCTCGCACTCCTACGGTACGCCCCATGAGTGCGAGAGAGACAGAGGGACGAAAATTGCTCTCGGAATCGGTCTGCTGCTCTGCGCCACCCTGTGCAGCGAGCGCGGCGAGGTAATGGCGTCGTCAGGGAGTCGGGGAGGGTAGGTAACGAGAGAAGGAGGCCACGGGGAGGCGCGGCCCGGCGCGGCCTGCGTGGCCCAGAGAGAGACCGCGCTGCAGAGGCGGCCGAGGCGGCCCAGTGAGCGTAATAGTGATGAACGAGGGGCGTAAATCCTTCCGGAGAGCACTGGCAAGGCAATCACCGGCATGGCGGCGGCGGAGAGCTCAAGGGGAGACTCCTCTTAAGGGGAGTCACGCGACCTGTTGGACGGCGCGCGCGTGCCGCCATGGTGCCGCGTAGCCCGGCGTGGCCACGTATCGACGGCGCTGTCGACCTCGTCGTCGGCCTGCACAGTGGGCCAGAAGACCCGTGGAGGCGGTCAAAGTCCCGGACGCGTTTTGAGCTCCAGCGTCGCTAAATGGGACTCGAACCGAACGTGTGACCTCACCAATGGATTGGAGAGTGGGGGGCATGGCGGCGGGAAGCAGCGGGCCTTCACGTCGCTCCGTGTTGGCCCTTCGATTTTGGTGGTTTAAAGTCGGTTTTCCGGGTCGAGTGTGGTATCGGTCGGTCCGTGAGCATCTAGCGCGTCGAGCTACAAAGTTTCGCGGCGATCGGTGCAACAGTGTCCGAGTTCTGTGCAAATTAGTTTTGGCGTCAGCTTTGGCGTCAGTGTTTACCCCGGCGCGGCACCGAGCAGCGCGCCACCCGTAGGCTACCTGGCCACACCAGCGCCCACGCCATCCGAGCAACCAGCCCCAGAGCCGAAAACTTCAAGATTCCAGCGGCCGGTACACAACCGTCGCCAGTGCAGTGTCTAGTGCAGTGTCTAGTGCTACCAGTGCTTTGTGTCGTGAAGATCAGTGTGCCGTGCCCGTGGTGCAACTGGCCGGTGGTGGATCCGCCGGCGCGGTGGTCGTGTGCCCAGCTTCCGCCCCCCTGCGGCACCGGCGCCGCGCCCCCGCTGTGCCGTTCCCCCGCGTTCAACAACCCGTTCAGGGAGGCGTTCAACGGGAGCTAGATGTCCGGAGGCCCAGCGGCGGCGCGCGTGCGATGCGGCGGGTGCCGCCGGGCTCCGGAGCGTCGTCTCCCCGGGCCCGGGTTTCTCTCTCGCACCCGTGGAAATTCCGTAAGGTGCGAGGGAGACGGGCTGGCGGGGCGGCTTTTCGGGGCCGGGCGGGGCCGGGCCGTGCCGTGCCGTTCGTCGCTGCAGTCGGCGGGCCCGGGGTTTACCCCGGCTCGGCTCGGTGCCGGTCCGCGGCATGGTTCGGCTCGGCTCAGGCCCTCGCCGCTCCGCTCGTCTCACGAGTGGATACGCGCAGGAAGATGCCGCGGCACCGCCGATCGGAGCGCCCCCAGCGGCAGTGGGGGGACTGGCGCGGGCACCGTGATACTGTGCCGCCCGCCCCTGGGGGACGAAGGATTATGTGGGTGGGTCCGAACGGAAAAAGTGGAGAAAATATTTGTGCGGACATAACTGAGCTTCTTAAATAGTTATGTTGATTGGTGTTTGTGATTTTAATTTGTAATAGACCGCGTGAATAAGTTTACAGATGTTTAAGCCGATGAGTCGGTTTTCACATGTACATGAGACTACACATACTTTGTCACACACGTAACAAGTCGCTCCCTTCTTGGGCTCACTGCTTGCCTCTGTTGGATCCAGACTATGTCTGGAGCGCATGTGCCTGTACAAGGTTTTCTTGTGTTCATATGTAGCTGGACACCGGAGGCCAGACAAGAATTTTTTTTTATAGAGAAATGATCAAAGTAGTCTAAGGCAGCCAGTGTTGTTACTCACAGTGAACATGCTTCCTTTGAGTACATCTTCACAGGTTGACAGACAGAACAGAAATGACCGATAATCGCGCGCTTTTCCTTAACATTTGTTTTGCTACTTGCTTCTTTTGTTCTGCCAACTTAATTAGTTCGCTCCTTTTTCAAGCGGTGTTTTCCCTTCCCCGGGCCAGTTTGAAATTTCGCGTCTCACGGTGCCCCGCGCCAGTCCCCACCACTGCCGCTGGGGGCGCTCCGATCGGCGGTGCCGCGGCATCTTCCTGCGCGTATCCACTCGTCTCGTCTCGCACCGACGGCTCCACCAGATGACCAGATGTCGGTCAGAGGCGACCCGCGGGCACCAGGCCGTGTTGCCAGATGCTGACCCAGGATCGACATCTGCACATCCCGACAACCCAGCCTGGAGTCAGCAAGAAGGATGCCTGCGCCTAAAGGATGAGTGCCTGTTCGGGTTTCGGGGTTTGGGTTCGGTGTTGGGTTTGGCTTTGGTGTAGGTCCTCCCCCCTTGCTGCTTGGACGGCTGTCGCGGCCGCTCCAGCGACGCAGGGACGGCCAGCTGAGCACCTGTAGTGACAGCCGCCACAGCGCCTGGCACGTAGGCAGCACCAACGACGGAGAACACCGAGGGGTTGCCTACCCGACGGGCGTCCGACAGCGATTGCGATTACTGCCTCGACCACACGCCTCCAGCCTCCAGGGTTCAGGGGGGTCCTCTCACCCTGGCCGCTCAGCACGACTGG